CGACTGGGTTAGCCCAACCGCTCCGAACGGGGATCTCTGTGCCGACTGCAAGGTAATTATTCAGCACGTCCTCGACCAGGCCCTGAACAATCCGGCCGCCGCAGCTGCAGGCGCGTTTGCCTCCGCAGACGGCGGAGTTGGGCTCCCCGCCGGTTTGGATTCGATGGACTGGGACTTTTCGACACAGCTGGACTTCAATTTCGACCTGCTGGACACCTTTGACTGGTTACGGCCGGACGTGGCTTCGGTCCAGCAAGCTTGATATGGCAAAGGGTGGATTGACGGTGAGGCGGCTGCGGCTGCGTCTCCCGAGAGATGCTTGTTTAGGGGGCCCACCTCATGTATTCTTTCATGATGAGTGCGCCCTTCACAAACGATACCAGTGACTCTTTAGTATCAAGGAGGTGTCTCAAGGTCTTGTTTAGATGTTTGGTGGACAGATGAGTCAAGCGGCATGCGTCATATGAAGCTAGTGGAATTGGCCGCCCCACCCGGGAATTCACGATGCTTCATCAACTTGCGAGATACCCTTAATGCCATGCTAAAAGAATACATGTGCAATGATTTGCTTTAGATAAATGCTGTATTGAGCTATTCAGAAGGCCCAAACATGCGCCGTAAAGAGGGAGAAGTGGTTGCCTCACTTGATGAGTCCAGCGGAGCAAAACAAACAGCAAAAAAAAATACAACACCGGGCATTCGCCGGTCGTCACCGACCCGACTACTACTCCAGCCTTCATTAGCTTATCTATGGGAGAGCGGACGGGATCCCGAGCTTTCCAATGGGTATGGTCGTATGTGCTTGGCGATGGTGTCTAGGATCACCATAACCCCAGAGCGTATCGCACCACTACCAACCCATCCGGTCGTCAGAGTCAACTACTGCCAATGAAACATGTGAAAGCGCACACATTGTTGCTTAAGATGGGATGTTATGGCTTTATCCGGGTGAACAGTCACCTGCGTGGATGACATCTTAGGGTGGTGGAGTTGACCGCCACACCCCGGGTTCGCGATGCTTCATCAACTTGTGAGATACCTCTGATGTCATACAATAGTTTAGTTAGATGTAATAGCTTTGTTCAGATCCCGAAAGTTCCAAACAGGCGCTTCTCAAGGGATTTTGAAACCAAACTCAGCTTTTCCTCCAGAGTTTTGCCGCTTCAGTCATTGAAGCACCGTTCACGATAGCATCCGTCATTGCCTTCTCTGTTTCCGCTAGAGAAGACATCAATTCAAGTGTTCGCCCCACCAATCCCTTGGGCACGCAGACTACCCCGTTCAAGTCGCCAACATTCCAGTCCTCCGGTTGAATAATAGTATCTCGGCCATCTTGCGAGATGGTAACCGGCTCATTGATCTGATCATGTTAGTCGCTTGGACAGGTTTCTGAGATATGAATAGAAAAGCGACCGCCCAATTTCCCTGTGTCTGCGAGTTTATGTTTCCTGTGAAGGTAATTACTTATGTTATGGACGATAGTGACGATGACAACCACGACGAAAACCACGACGACGAAAGTGACGATGACGATACCGGCAGCGGCAACGATGATGACGACGACAGTAATAACGACGAATATAGTAGTAACGACAATAACAGCAAAGTATAGTAAGCTATATAACCACAAGAAAAGTTGTAGCTCTAGCACAGGAAAAAAAGGCGGTCTCAAGCAGCTAGAAATACAAGAAGAAAAGAGGATGTTCACTTACTTCGCTGACATAAAGGGAACCATGAGGAGGTGTGGGAGCCACACCGCGACCAAAAGCCTACACAGCGGTTGGCTACCGAGTCGGCATCATCGCACGTGGAGATCATTGTGCGCAAAGACCTACGGGATATTCCAGCTCGCGAAGCTCTTCAAGGTCTCTCAGTCGCCCATCGATCACCGTACCGACAGCTCCGAGCGTCTGAGCTCTTCGGGTGGTCAGCCCTCCCCAGCAGGCATTGATGGTGTTCTCGGGACAAGAGATGAGGATCACGGCACTGGGACACTGTCCAACTCAAGGCGATCACGATGATCCATCAGTATGTTCAGTTCATGAAGTCTATCGCAGAGACTTACAAAATGCCCGGTACCACCTTTAAGGGTTGCGTTTCCGCCCCTGGCGGACGAGGACTTGACGGTAAACGCTAGGCCAACTATTTTTGTTTGACCAGACTGGCGATTAGGCGACTGCAGTGTTAGGCCAGGTAGGAAGCCGTCGCCAGGTACGTCAAGCTTCATGAGCGTATCTGCGACATCCCAGCTGAGTCGACTTCGCCGTCAGCTTTCCGACCGCTGGATCAAGAAAACCAGCTCAGTAGCAGCCATATATACTCTTTCTTTCCTTTGACCATTTTGCATGTCACGATGGGGGGCACTGGGGTCTACTTCTTCGGTGTTGCTTTCCTGCTACACAGAAGAAGGGGCGGCGCAGGTCTACGGCATTAAAAGGTAGGTGTGTACTGTGAACAGCCTTCCGAGTGTCAGAGCTAGGAGGACAGACCTGCCGCACTGTGGATGCCCACGACCCTTTTGTCTTACGGTAGGCGTCACATGATTGAGAATCGAAGCCGAACCTTGAACTTACTTCTCCTTAGCAACGACGTTTTTGCAATCTCTTCCACCCCTGAAATTATCAGCCCAGAGGATCCAACCACCTGTGACGCCTTCCGCTCATCAGGCAAAATCCCTTCGACTTCCCTTCAAACTGAGCCAAATATATTGTCTATCAAGACCCCACCAAATACATCCTTTCCCGGAGACTGAATGATCCTGTTAATCCGATTTCCTTTGCCAGCTGCAAGCCAACCGTCGTTGTCTTCCAACATTTCGTTCATGACCAAGCCGTCAGGGTTTTCCGCCTTTGGCATCGTCTTTCTGAACCCTCTACGATCCACCACGTGCATCCCACGTGTCCACTGACCGGAGGCTTCAACGCGGATGTCCTCAGGTATGGGCGTAGACTTCCAGCGTGTGTCTTCTTTAGTCAGGATGTACCAGATGGTCATGGGATCATGCAGTTGAAGACCAGCATCGGAGGTGCTGTTTGGCCCCTTCATTGAGTCGATCTTGTCGAAAGTTTGGGACATGAAGTGCTCGGTCCACTGCGCCAAGGGGCTCCCGCTCGCCAATAGAGGTGTGATTTTCTCTGCGAAGTGCCGTCTGAAGAGGCGGTGCGGGGTCGTGATGTCCAAAGGAAACAAAGTCAGCTTGAGCTTGCCTTTCACATCCTTCGGGTATGGAGGAAGCGAAGCTGCGAGCGGCATCGTGGATTTGGGAGAAGGCGATGTCAGGGCGAAGACTCGGGCCGTTGCAGCTGGATCTGCATAAGTATTGAACTCAGCCATCGGCGTGATGTTGCCTGGCAAGTCAATTGCCCCTCCCATAACGACAACTTCCTTGACGCGAAGGAAAGTGTCTACATCTTCGGCGGCCGCCAGCGCTAGATTGGTCAACGGTCCGATGGCAGCGATTGTGATGGAGTTAGGAGGGCTCTCGCGCAACAAGCGGAGAATCTCTTTGTAGGCGGGCTCTCTGGATGGGATGAACAGCGAAGATGAGAAGTTCTGCTGATCTCCATGGAAGGCGGCGTCCCAATTCTCCCCTGGAGTGAGATGAGGATGCTCAGTGTGGACACCATGAAGACCATCAGCACCATCTGTAAGTTGTTCAGCAATTGTTCGGTACTCTGACTTCATTACTCACGGAAATGGTCTGCAGCAAGCTCGTCTTCCTCAAGCGGATGCGCTGCACCGACTGCGACGAGCGGCTTGAACGCCTTGAGCGCATCAAAACCCAAGTGTTTGCCGTTGGCCTCCCGCCATGCCATCTCCTTCTCGAGAACGTGGAAGAGAGCGACGACATTGCGAAGGCAACTGTTTGGTTAACAAAAGTCGAGCAATTGGCATCAGAATGATAACTCACCTGGTGACAGGAACGTTGCCGTAAGTGACGGACAACAAGAGCACCTCCAGATCCTCTGGAGATGACGAAAGTGCTTGAAGAATGGCCAGCACATCGTCGACACCTATCAAGAAGAGACTCAGAACTCTGATCACAGCATTCAGAATGTTCACTAACCCGGGTCTGTGTCAATGATGATGCGGTTCTTTGGAGCCATGTTCGCAGTGTCAAGGCTTGGTGGAAGTTATAGGGATGGACGGTCGGTGTGGCACAAAAGGGAGAGCCCGGAAAGTTCGACTTAAGTACGAATACTGGGTTAGGGCTTCATCAGGCGGAAAACCAATGGTAAGCCTCCGCAGGCATAGCCTAGCTCCCGGACACCCATTACGGGATTATTGTCATGACGCCGCAGGCGGGGATGGCAGCGGTACTACATTGGCTTTATCCCTCCTCACAGCCCTTGCTGGTGGACCTATTCTTGGTATCCATGGAACCGGAGATCTTCTCCAAGGACGCACAGCTGCAGTTCACTATGAACCCCGCCCTCCAAGGAATCGAAGAGATCCAGCAAAGCTTTGTGCCCGCCTTCGGTACTCTCTTGTACATGAAGCACGTGCCTATGAACTTTGTAAAGTTGGATCTGAGTTCTGGATGTACCTTCTGCATCCTCGAGATTGGAAGTCACAGTCCTCTCGGTGAAGTCTGCGCATTTGAGTAGGGAGTTTCTATTGTGTCTATGATACTCAGGATAGCCAAAGCCGAGAGTTCTCATCTAGGATCAGCTCAGATTCGACTCCAATCAAGTTGCAATATGGATGTTGGAACTCGGTAATGTAGGAGTGCGTCAATGGCGTCCTCGGGCGTCTGCACCGTCACGATGATAGCAGAATTGGTTGGGCGTATGAACTGCTCCTCTACAGCCTGTTTAACCCACTTCAAAATTCCATCGAAGAATCCATCGATATTCAGAAGACAAACACCCCGCGAGTGAATACCCAACTGAACCCATGTGGCAGCTTCAAGAATTTCCTCAATAGTCCCGTATCCTCCCGAGAGCGCAATGAAGCCGGATCCTGGACCACCCGCAAAAACTTCCTCGGCCATCATACGCTTACCGGGTATGCATATCTTTCACAACTGTGGTGCGGCCATATGTCATCTTGTCCGGGATGGGCATCTTATTCTCGGCACACATGCTGCGGTAGCTATCGTCGCGCTCAAACTTGACCAGGGGCTCGGGGATGATGCCATGGACTGCTTCCGGTCCGGAAATGGACACAAGGGTCTTGGCCAACTCGCCCATGAGTCCGACTGTGCCACCTCCGTAGACTAGACGAGTCTCGTAAGCATTTTGATGATGTATTTTTGAGATTGAGCGCCTCTTTCTTACCCAGATCAAAGTTTTTGGCAGCCATCAACTGAGCGAGCTTGCGAGCGGCTTCCATGTGCTTTGGGCTATAACCCGTAGACGAGCCGCAGTATATACATATTCTCGTTCGTTTGGGGGTATCATGGTTGAGGCGAGTCTCTGTGCTAGCGACTGACATCTTGCTTGCTTCCCAGTAAACCACTGATGTAGAAGAAAGAGAGGAAGAAAGTAGGTGAGTGAGTGGTCACTGAGGAAAGATAAATAAATACGTGAGGATATCGGGATGTGGAAGAAGCAACAGCGGCCTCTTAATAGTAGACGGATGAGTTCGGGCCAGGAGACTCTCAGAAAGCTGGGGCTTGCCCATAGCACAGCGAGCCCTAAGTGCCTAGTTCTGATCAAATTCAACTGTGATGTCCCGTAGCCCACCCTGGAGTGGCGCACAGGGCCACCTCACGAAAGGCGTAGTCGCACATGTTGATGCGATGTCATTGCATCAGACTCGTGATCCCTGTCGGGTGGTGTGGGGGAGGAGCAGTCCCACGATCCTGGATACCGTTGTTTAAAGAGATGAACCAATCGTAAGGCGACAATTGCGAGCCAGCCAATGAGAAGTAAGCGGGAGAATCTTGACTCGCCCATGACTCTCTGGGTTAGCACAGGGGCATTTCCGCCGAACTTACCAAGTGAAGGGGGAGAACTTCGTGTCTCTTTTTCTTTTCAATCCTGAATTTGACGGAGACTTTTCGTTGGTCTACTATAATCCCGAAAGCGCCACCCGTCATGTCACTTTTAGCATCAGTGGTTTGTGTCGATGTACGGTCATGAATACAGGCCGAAATCGATCGAGAAAGCCAACAGCCAGGATGTCAATATCTCGGGTCAAGTCTGGCTGCAAGACCTGCAAGTAAGTCCCCCTCGGAAGGGCTCATAAAACGCCGGACCATGACTTAAATGTCTCACAGAATCCGAAGAGTCAAATGTGATGAGAACAGGCCAGCTTGCCAAAGATGCTTGTCTACGGGCAGAACCTGCGATGGGTACGGCATTTGGGGCGGCGGAGGCGGGCGCCGTTCCCTTGCATCCAGTCACGCAGCACATCCCTTGGCACAACCATCCTCAATCTCGCGTCATAATACACGTGCTGGTGCCTTGAGCCTCAGTCATGACGAGCACAGGCAATTTGAGTGGTTCGCTCGCCGTACCACCGGCAAGCTACCCGGGGTCTTCACATGTGCTCTGTTCTGGGAAACCCTGGTGCTTCAGGCGAGCTCAACGGAGCCAGCGGTGTTATATGCTGTGCTAGCGCTCGGTGCCGCCCACAGGATGGAGATTGCGAATGCGTGTTGCTGCAAAGTCGAATCGGAGGACTCCGAGTTATCCAATATCACTACCCAAAAGCGGTTGGCCTTGCAGTACTACAACAAGGCGATTGGTCTGCTTCGACCTCAATTATGCAACAGACGCCCGGAATCCGTGCGCATTTCTCTTGTTGTTTGCATCATATTCATCTATTTAGAATTCATGCAGGAGCGTTATGAAGATGGTTACGTTCACTTCCGGCACGGCCTCCAACTTTTGGACCTTCTCACTCCAGGTCTTTCGAGCGGGTCGAGGTCATTTCGAGACTGTGCCGATGAGTCTCTCGCCGAAACCCTCGCTTGGCTCGATATCCAGACAACTCTCCTCAAAACAAACGCTTCCCAGGGTCACTACTCTCGAAAACTTCCCTCTTGGCATGATACCGAAGTGCCCACTGCTTTTCGAGATATCCTTCATGCCCGTCAGAGCATGGATAGACTTTTATTTCGATCTTACGCACTAGAAGAACAGAGTCGACAAAGTAGCTACAATTCAGCCACAACGTTCGACCTGCTCGGTAGTCAGAAACGTCTTAGGAATGACCTCGCATTCTGGTCAAAGACCTTCGGTACCTACACCAAGAAAATGTGGCCTTTTATTGGGGATCAAGACAAAGCTGCCTACAGCTACCTACCGGTGTATCGCGAGATGGCTTTCATCATTGTCGAAACCAGTCTCTATCCAACGGACGAATCGATCTTCGACCGCTACACAGACAACTTTGTCTTCATTTTGTCGGCGATAAAAGATATCCTGGAGGCCATGTTACCCGTACCACTAAATCATGTGACATCGAGGCACTGCACTCAGCGGTTCAGTTACTCTGCTCAAATGGGTCTAATCCCGCCGCTTTATTACACAGCCATGAATTGTCGAGTACCAATTCTCAGGAGACAGGCCGTTGAGCTTGTCACCACAGGACTCCACGAGGAAGGCATTTGGGACACGTCCTTGTCGGCACAGATGGCCAGAGAAGTAATCTCGTTGGAAGAAAAAGGCTTATGTGGATAGGACGAGTAGCTACGACGATGACGCTTACGTTGGTAGTGTATAAGGGTCATCTCATAGAGCTGCAAACGTTTGAATAACTTCAGCGGTTGACCGGGTGAACACTTGATAATTGGCAAGTTTTATGTTGAGTTTTGCTATCCGGGCGGATACTTCTGGCTAATTGGTCGGATGACTATTATAATAAGTCAAATAGTTTATTTTATACTAATAACTTAATATCCCTGTCGTCCCTGTCGCTCCTATCGTCCCTGTTCCTATCGTTGTCACTATTGTCTTCGTTGTTATCCTTATTATCGTCGATACCTACTACCCGCCCGGATAGCTCGAAGTATCCGCCCGGATAGTAAACTCTCTATATTACCAACATCTACAATACTAACACATCCATGGATCTCTACATATTGGCGATCAATAGTTATCTATTCAAGGGGGATATGTGTCTCAAAGTCCGTAGGGAAACTCATCAGTTATACAGCGTTGAGTTTTGCCATGATATCCGAGCCTCTTCCGGTGTTCACACGCCTTGGTGATGATCCCTGTGATTCAGCTGTTCGGAAATTTCAGAAAGCCTCAGATCGTCCACGTCTTTATCAACAGAAGACGACACAACGCGACCGGGAAACCACACATTAAAGGCCCCCGAGCACAAGAACATAAGAGCAGTGTCTAGGCAGTAGAGGTACACCTCATTGCTTTGCAGCGTACCTGTCTGCCCCTCTGCAAACTCGGCAACCCTGAAGATGGATCGGACGAGAATGAGCAAGGAGGTGAAGTAAAGCACCAAGACGTATTCCTTCCAGGGTCTAACCCCTGCAAGACTGAGAGTAGTCGGTTGTCGTAGGATGCGGTAGTGGAAGACGGAGATTGACGCCATGAAGCATGCGAAGAAGAGGATTTGGATGCCGAGGCCAACGAGGATCATGTCCTGGCCGCGATCGATCCCGCTTTTGTCGTCTGCGCCGGAAAGAATGCCTCCTCCTACGACAAGTCAGAATGAAGTGTCTATCGCTAATACCGGAAGACTGACCTATACACTGGAAAGCGAAGGAGAGCACATCCCCGAACACGAAGATTTTAGTCAACCATCTCACGGGTATGAAAGACAGATGCTCGGCACGGAGAGAGCTGATGATGCGACCTAGCAGCATGTAGATAGAGGCAGCATACAGCGCCGGGGCGAGTAGCGGCCCAAGGGTTTGGATGATGAAGGGTATCTGCGACCAGTCCGGAGTCTCGGCTGCGTTGACTGCTCGGGCTGAGTACCCAACTACCTGGACTGTGGAAATGTCAATCAAAAAATCTCTGAGACGAAATGCTTGTATGATCTCTTACAAATGGAGCCCACGACGAATGGGATGAAATACCATGTTCTGGCACGGACGGTTTGGAAGACATGGAGGACGCTGCTGATACCGAATAAGGCGGCGAATGTGATCGCAGCAGCGAGCGAGGGGTCATAATGATACTTTGAAGGAGGCTTCTGCGTTTCTGACATTTTGATTGCCGTCCTTGTTGGTCTTACTGTTCTCTTTGTCTTGATATTGATTGTTGATTGCTGGCTGAATAGCTACTTTGGCAACATACTTCAGCGGGGATACTGGGAGCATAGCATCGTTTATACTCCACTGTGGGATTACTTAAATTGTGAGCCTGGACCTTTTCAAGATCCTTACTGAGTCTACTATGCCAAATTGCAGAAATATGCTTGAAGTTGATGGTAGGACGGTGCTCGGGACTTTCTTTCCTCTTTAACACGCCTCGGTGCTTATGCACAGCCCGAGCCGGCGCCAAAACATGAACACGAGAAAATGCGCAGTCAAGCCGCGCGCATGTGTGCAAAATCTTTAGCTGTCGCCTTTTATTGAATGCTCCCGGACTCTGTTGTGGCTTGGAGATGACGAATATCTGGCTTGTTGTCGCATGAGGGTCTGCAACCCAGCAACGTTGAGCCCCCCTGCGTGAATATCCTGTCCACGAACCCATGATCAGCTGAAAGACAACTTGGGATGACAGCCACAGTCAATCTTAGCTACAATGAAGTCAATCTATCCGTTCGGCCCCTGAGTGGTCTTCGTGGCCTAATTGAGTTGCGCGGGGAACAACACGTCCCCCCGGAAGCAGGGATCTCGCGGTGTTGTAATGCTGCTCTTGTCTACAGAAACAAGTTAGTAGCATTGCAGAGCCATGAATGCCTGCCATCATGATACTGGTCCCGACTATCCAGATTCGGGCCCGAAAAGAAGGGTCTGGATCGTGAGCTAACTGCGCGACCTGCTCAAAACCCCGAGAGAAAGGAACCGGGGAAAGGCCCTGCGGCGGATGAGTCCGGACAACTACGAATGTGAGCTCACAACTCCGCCAGGTTTCATACTTTAAGTTGACGGTATCCATGCCCGGTTTGCATGAGTGTCTGGCCTCTATTAAGAGCTGAAGCGGACGGTCAATGTCTGCAGGGCAGGAAAACCTGGACCAGTGTCTTGGGACCACTCTCAATGTAAGGCATGCCCTTACCATATAAGGAGCAAGTATAAAGGAAGAATTAGGCCTGCGCTGTTAGCTTGGATAAAATCACTGCACTGAAATTTGAGTATTACAACGGTCCCTAACTTCCCTACATCACAATGTCCTGGATCTTGATCCTGTCCGTGATTCTCGGCGGCGGTGCTGCGGAGATGTTCAGACCAAATGTTCACTCAACGTATC